ATATATGTTCTTCTCTATGACTTTTTCCAAGTGGTATATTGTGAAATGTAAACAACTCTGTCCAATTTAAACTGAAAATTAAGTTTTATTGGAATAAAATGCCAGGTTAGCTTAGCAGACAGTTTCTGGTTCCATAACAAAAGCAAAGTACGTCTGCAATATAGTTGGGCCACACTTGCTCATACTCTAGATCAGTGTCTCATACCTCCTGCCTGAAACACAAAAACACTGATGGAAGCTATTCAGCCTAATACTGAATTGCAAAAGAGACCAAGAAAATCAGATTTTGACTGAGCTGAAAGAAATAGCTAAATCTGCTTCTGAATCCAGCTGTTACACCCTTTACCTGTATAATTCCTGACAGCAAGGTGACCGCCACTGCTACTTTCACCCGCATGGCATCTCTGGCATCTGTACTGTTGGTAGAGTTGGTGTCTGTCATGTCAAACAGCTCATCAGGTACTTCTCTGACTGCCACTCCCCCAATCATCAAGCTGATCACAGCAAACGTTCCTGCAGGAGGATTCCGTTAGGGGAAGAGATGCGTATTGCCAACACCATCAAGGAATGTGAAAGAAACCTTGATAGTTTTGTTGTATTAGAGAGAGAGGAAAAACCCACAGTGCAATTCCAGACATGCATATTAAGCAGAGACTTTCCACCTCTCCTTCCAAAATACAGCCAACTCACATTGGATAGTGACATAGTGAAAGCAACCAAGAGTAGACTTCCTTTTGTTTTTCTGATGCACCATTCAACTTCAAAATGGCTCTGGGATAACCTTGAGCCTCTTCAGCAAATAAAGGGCCTTTGGACTCAACATATCCAAGACCACTTCTATCCCATCTTCAGAAGTCCCTATTTCAGGGTTTACAGCTGGTGTAAGGTTGATGGTTGGTCCAACTACACCTGAACTTAAAGAGCTTCCAAGAGAGATACACATGCTTGTCTACAGAACTAGCAAAGCAGAAGCTCTATCTCACCTAACTCCATGGCACTGGATAGCTATTATTCACCATCATCCCTGAAATAGATAATTATACACATGTGCCCAGGCACAGGAACACAAAGAGTAACTAATATATAGGTCATTTTGATTCCCTAAACAGAGTAAGGAAGAAGAACTGCTGCTTTGGTTATTGCACTCTACAGTCTCCCTTGATGAATAATGTTTTAGGGTAAATAAAATACAGGAAAAAACCAGCACTTCTTGTTATTTTATTTTGGATAATGCGTACCAGAGTTTTCTGGGTCATTTATTACTTTGTTACTTTAAATAACAACATGTAGTATGAGCAATACCAGTCTTATGTACTTTTTTTTTTTGAGCGTTCATAATCTTTTGCCTAGTCCCATAATGCATTTCACAGGAATTTGTAAATCATTTCCATTTTGCAGGAAAGATCTGAAAAAAATGGGAGCATGTCGAAGGCAATCTAGTGAATTGGTTGTAGAGGCAAGACTGGGGATAGAAACTTAACAAATCCCTGCTAAATCTTCTGACTCACAGAAAAATTGCTAAAGTAGCGTCTATCAAGTCAACTCAGCTCCTGGTGACTTTACACACATTCAGGTAGGTTTCTTGGCAATAATATGGAAATGGTTTGCCACCACCTTCCTTCTTCCAGAATGTTCATTCAGCTTCCTACCCTCGTTCCTGGTGAACTTCCATCCAAGACCTTGACTATCCAAGTATAGTCAAGGTCAACCAGGGGCAACAGTCACCTACCTGGGATACATTATTTGACTGCTGCGCTTATTTTCACATACAGAAAAGTAGATATTGGTACTAAAGCATGCTTGCTAAGGATATAGTTAAAGGATGTTGAGATTTAAACATCAGGTAGTAATTTCCACATACAAGATTCATGATAAGATACAGATAACTTTGACTTGGTGTAACAAAGGTGGTCCCCTTTAAAAAAATAGAATGGGTCCCACCCAACTCTATTTTCAAGATCACAGTCATCAACTAAATCCATTGATACATTAAAAGATATACCTATTGATATATGTCTGGAAGTTCCAAAAAAAGTATACAGAAAGACTGGATAAAATGAAGAATACAGGCCAAACACTGGAGGGACTGCAGCCAGCGATGCATATGCTAATCCTGGGAGAAAAATTAAAGAAGAAAAAAGAAAGCGTAGATGAGAAGCACATAAGATCCCAACCAAATTATTTGAATAAGTGGCCAATGAAGAATAGTTAAACGGTTGTAATCACTGAAGCAATGAGCATGAAACTGAGCAAACTCAGGGAGGCAGCGAAGGACAGGAAGGCCTGGCGTGATGTGGTTCACATGGTCACGAAGAGTTGGACACGGCTTAACGACTGAACAACAAAAAGCTGCTCTTGTAAACATTCTCTCAGTCCCTCAATTTCTCCAAATCTTGGTAGATTTTGGACAGAAAAAATAGAAGGATTTTGCAGACTAATCTATACAACGGTCAAAGGTCAGTTGCTGAAATCATTACATACAAAAATGATGTGCACTGTTTCTTAAACAGGAATGGGAAATCTTCTGTTGGACTACAATTCCTATCAACCCTTGGGAGACAATGGGAATTGTAGCCCAGCATATATCCATGCAAATTATGAAAGCAAATCTGCAGTGGGTCACAAAAAATCTCTCATGAGGTTGAAGATTTTTTTTTCCAAAGGTACAATTTTACGAACCTTGAGGGAGCTGCATGACCCCCGTGCTGATCCCTGAGATCACATCTCCCAGCAAATATTCTTTCACAGGATAGTGAGGAAGCCATCTTAAAATAGGGAAAAAGCTGTAGAGAACCGATTTGGCTTTCTTGGAAGAACAGCTGAAAACATCAAAAGCAAAAACATATTGTCAGCCGAAAGAAACTAACAAGATGTCTTGGGCCAAAAGAAAAATCCATTATAGAAAATATATTAGCCTTACCACTGGAAGCAGATAAAATGTTTTGAATAAGCTAAGCATGGGTTTTATAAAAGAACCCCAGGCATATTTATTTAGGTGTAAATCCAATTAAATAAAAGCATATTTACTCCCAGGTTTACTGCCATCTGCATGATCATTCACATATGGGAGCAAAATTCCAATTTCTGCCATTACAGTGAAAATATACTAGTATTAATACAAAGTCAATGCGTAGGGGGGTCAAAAAAGCCAAGATGGCAGCTGCACCCACGTGATCAAAGGTGCCATCTTGATTTTTTTTCATCATCCATGCTGAATTAATATCCTAATAAATTAATGTAATTATACATTGCTAGCATTATACTGGGAAGTGCAGAGAATTATTTCCTTCCTCAGTTTTCCACAGCGACAACCTTTGCTGGATTAGGCTACTCTCTGTGAAAGGCAAGATAGGATCCAAGGAATTGCCAGCTGATTAATTTAGTGAGACCAAGGAGATTTCACATCTTACCGAAGAACACGTGCTATCTTTTGACCAAGAGGCTGGGGTGTTTTGTCCTTTGTATGCAGCTGCTCTTGTAGGATTCCTTGACTATATACTTGTCTCTCCACACAGTACATGCGTGATGACGTGGGGCATCTTTCATATTCTCCAACATGTTCCATAGTACATATTCAATGAACAGAGGACAGGAGAGATGTTCCTTGAGGTTGCTACCAAAGTACACTTGTATAAAAAGATTAGCAAGAAGTGTCTCTTTTTAATAAGGAAAACTACAAAAGGAAGTTTCCAGATCTGGTGCTATGCCACTCTTCTCTCGAGCAAAAGTACTGAAAGAAAGATGACCAGGAAAAAGGAAATTAGCAAATCAAAACATGATTTCACCTTCTCATCACTCTTTCAGAGGCATTGCCCCATGGTTGATTCTACCGTCAGAAAGAGTAAGGCGGCTGCCTCTACCAGCAGATATTTGGGGAGGGGGAAGGGGGAACAATCTGGCAGCAATCTACCCCAACCCACCTCACTGTTATTTTGAATCTCCCCTATGTACACCACTATTATGCCACATACAGGGCTGCCGCAACCTGGTATACAAATTGTGCACCGCGCAAGGATGCCATATGGGGGGGGGGGGCAAGTTAAAAAAATATTTTCACAATTCAGGTGCAACAGTGGTCGCTGAACCCCTTGCTTGGAGAAGGATTCCTGGTGTCCCAATCCTTTATGCACACAGATGCAAGCCTGAGCCTCTGCATGTTTTACTGAGAAGTAAACCGTAAACATTCAGCAAGCAAGCGAGGACCCCACTGGACTGCTGCTCCTCCTCTTTCTCCTATGTTCAAAGGAACAAAACCAGTTTTCCCAACTTGGACACTCCACACCTGTTGATCTACACCACTTCATATACCTTTGCTTTAAGGCAGTGTTTCTCAACCATGGCAGCTTTATGATGGGTGGACTTCAACTCCCAGAATTCCCCAG